TTGACACCTTGAGTAAGGCCGCCGTCACCCATTGCGTCTCAGCAATTGACGGACAGTGGGTGTTAAGTTGCCTCTTTAACGGTTAGTTAAAAACACTATGCCACGAAACATTAGTCTTTGTACTTCAAAACTGCTGTCAAAACACAATAGAAATTTTGGGAGCCATCCAAGTACCCGCGACTTAGCCGATTCGCGACTTACCGAGGCGCGACTTAGCGAGGGGCCACTGTATATAATCTGAACAATAAAATGACATGCATCAGGAACCTGTATTGTCTAATGTATGTTATAAGTTTGAGCAAAATCCATCCAGAAATGCTTGATATTTGATGATTTTTTTAGCACAAAAATAGCCACCATTTGGCCACTTTGGAAAGGATCGTCAAACCAATATATCCGTATATCTATGACATGATGTATAATGAATATTAAAAATTTTAACATAATCAGTCAAATAATGTCAGACATATGGCACAAGAACCGCATTCATTAAAACAAAATGGCCGCCAGTCGGCCATTTTGAATCTAATCTGAAAAACAAAATTATTTGCATCACGGTCCCATAATGTCTAATGTATATACCAAGTTTGAACAAAATCCATCTGCCGGGAAGTGCTCGATTTTGATGATTTTTAGCACAAAAATGGCCGCCATTTGGCCATCTTGAATCAGATCATGAAACAAATTGACATGCATATGTATAATATCATGTATGATGCATGTGTTAAGTTTGATTGTGATTGGTCAAGGCATTTCTAAGATACCGGACGCACGCACAGACGGAGGTCAAACATAAGTCCTCGTTTTCGGACTGCGTTCGAACGGGGACTAATGATATATAGTAGATAATATTTGGTGATTGATGTTCTGAGTAGCTGTTTAAAATAAATGGACGTTTCAGGCAATGGCTCTTTATTTTTCTAAGCTACCATAAAGGGTTTGAAACGTCTGCCTATTTTGGAATAGTTACTTAGTTACAACGATTACCAAATATCATCTCCTTCAACTTTAGCAAATAGGTCATGTCCAATGCCTAATGACTTGAATGTCCAAGTGTTGTATAGCCTGTCTATCAATGAGTTCAATAAACAGGAAAGCTTCACTTAGTGTTAATATATGCAGAATAATAAATCAGATGCAAAGATGGAAACTTCACATTTGTATAGCAATTGATCTGCAACATAAAGCTTAGTCAGAAATTCTCAATGAAGCCAAGCTCAAGTTCATGTTTAAAATGAAGAGTGTGACACGATATGTGATATTATTTGAGCCATGTTCTGAATTAGAATTAGGCCCTCTAGGAGTAAGTTTCACAAAACTATTGTTGTTGGTTAATATAAATGCCTTAAATGACTCATGACCACATCTTAGCAAGTGATCTCTCGGATAATAAAAAGTGATTTGACCACCATACCTTTCCAATTGCTTGGCCAATTTCTCTTCACGTGCCTGTGCTTTCATTTGTTGTACTTCAATCGTATCTGGTTTACGTCTCCTCATGTACAACTCATGGTTTCCCATACATAATGCCAAAATACGCTTGTTAATTCGTAGCCTTGGTGCATAGAATACAAAGTCCTGGAACGATAACACATGCGGGGAATATATAAAAGACCTCGAACAAATTTATTACAAAATAAAGTAATTGGTCTATTACAGTACATGTATCTTGTATAATCATTTTGATTTGTAGTTGAATACACAAGATGGTACACTAACACAATTCAGAGTTAGTGAAAACAACAGGTGTATAATTAAGGCCAGTCCACCTGTCCCACAGATTTTAGCAGGGGCAGGTAATTATAGAAATTTCTGGTCCTCTGCTCAAGCGAATAAAAATATCAAGGTTTTACTCACTAACCAAATTGGGATTAAGTTCCCAGTTGCTAAAGTCCAAAAAATGTCTTTGTAGAAGTTGTTAAAATGATGCAATGACAAACAAGTTGTATTTCAAATAATATACATTATTTAATTTTGTTTTTATTCTCACAAACTTCCCATAAATTTGCGAAAATAATGCAATATATATCGTAGAATGTCCAAGTGTTGTATAGCCTGTCTACCAATGAGTTCAATAAACAGGAAAGCTTCACTTAGTGTTAATATATGCAGAATAATAAATCAGATGCAAAGATGGAAACTTCACATTTGTATAGCAATTGATCTGCAAAACCGATATTCAAAACACTGAACTGACAAATATTTTTACTCCATAATGACAAAGATTTTTAAGTTGATTTTGTTCTTATGTAACCTCACCGGTGCTTTCTTGTCAATTGGCTTGATAACAAATTTCTTGTCATTGAAAGAGATGTTCCTAATCTCACTCCATGGGAATCCAATCTTGGGCGTCAGTCTGAAAAATAAGCGAATGATACACATAATACCGTTTGAGCTTAACTTGACATTCAGTAAACTTCAAGTTGGCTAAAAGGTAGCCTGGCTTGCTTTCAAAGATGCCACATATTTAACTGTGCGGAGCAATCTGATTACTGTAAAATACTTTATTTTTGCTTGGAATTAATTTTTGCTATTTTCGCTGAAGGAATGATTCATGAAAATAAACTCCAGTGAATTTTTACCTATATTTTACATTCAACTAAAAAAAATCAGTGAAAATAAATTCCATACAAAACACCCAAAATGTTTTTGCAGCGAAAATTAATTCCAGCTAAAATAAAGTATTTTACAGTAACTAAGTTTCATATTAAAAATAGGTAAATACTACAAAGAATATATTGAAATTGTAGATAACAATGATGCTTTAAAAATTTAGTTTTTACCAAAGTCAGCTTGGAAGTTACATCCAGACTGTACTGTACTGACATTTGCATCATTCAGATTTCAATTTTTGTTGTTGGAAAAATGCACATTTCAAACAACTATTTGTAAAAATAACGATGGTCTTGACAGGGTAAAATTGGAATTTCCCCACATTAAATTTTTTACATGCAACAAATTAACCCGTGAGTAGTATGAAACCCATATCGAATATGAGCACTGCAATTACCTTGACAGTGGCATGTACTTTTATAACCCTTTGAGTGCTACTATTTTTCTAACCCAAACTTTAGGGCAACATATTGCTCATTTTAATTATTTTTTCATAATAATTTTCATCATTTTTATCCAAATGGTCAGAATTTTGTATTAGCTAAGATAGATCAAAATTTGGAAAAATATATTTGATTTTGTAAACGGGAACAGTAGTTGATTGTGGCACTCAAAGCATCAAATTAGCTTGGTAGGATAGAAGTTAGCAACAGCAGTCATCTCTCACTATGTACTAGGGTCCCTGCACAAAGTACAGAGCATACACAATACATAATTCATTCAATTGTGCATTGACCAATTCAGATGCACAATATATATTCACCATGGCAACAAATCAAGTTCATCTGACTTACTTATCATCATGCTCATATATGTTAAGACCTAGAGCATCCACTCCTAAGAATAAATCTGTGCCTTTTTTGTTCTTGATTTCAAAATAATTCACGCCATACATTTCCAAATCTTGTGCAATTTTCAGATATTCTAACATTGCATCATCCCTGAAAAAAAAAAACAGAACACAGCGGTTAATAAGTTGTTAAAGAGCATTTAACTTTTCTTTGAATGCTCTCCTCAAACTATTGTTTGCGCCCTCATGTGGTTAAAATGAGAAATCTCAACAGTGCCCTCATGGGCCGAAAAAAATATTTTTTAAATACAGTCAAACCTGTCTATAGTGGCCACCCAAGGGACTTTGAAATTTTGGCCTTTATAGACAGGTGGCCTTTCTATACAGGTTCACTAATTTATTCATGAATATTAATTAGGCACTGAATGTATTAAAACAGATTTCGCAACCCCATTTGACACACTATTACACTACTGTACACAGTATCCAAACACTTTATTACAAATAAAAATGTTGATTTTAAATTGTATTATGTAAACTAAAATCATTTCACAAAAAATCG